AAAAAAAAAAAACTTCCGACCGATGACAATCACTAGACGCGGCGAAAGAATTCCTCGAGTCGGCGACGCCGATTCATCTCGTTGCAGGCCACTCTCTTCTCGCCAGCCGATTCGGATTCAGTAATTAGGTAAACCGCGCTCTAAGCGGTTCGTTTGCTTACGTGCTCCCCGGCGTTTGCCCGGCTTAATTAATTCTCGCATTGGTGGCACTCTTTGCGGGCGAGATTCTCATCGAGGCGGGGGCAGCAGGCACGTGCCGCCGCCAGAGCGGACAGATAGAGACTGGCAGATGAGCTAATGGATAATAGGCGAACGATTGTTCGCCGGAGCGAGGATCCTAGTGCCTTCAACCTACGCTCGTCTGTACGGATCGCGTACTTTCTATCTCTTTTTAGAATTCTCCCCCGTCTTGTTTTCCCCGGGAAGCGTCTAGCTTCAATTATCCAGACAATGGACACGCGTGACTCTCCCCCTCTTTTTCTCCCTTTTTATCTACCTACCTATCTACCTACCAGAGCCTTCATTCTCCGAACAATGTCGCGCGTCCGTTCTGCGCGAATTCCGAGAGAGAATTGATCGAAAGCTCGAGACGACTCGATTCAAGCATCCCTCTCTCCGGATAGAGGGAAACTAGATTGTACTCCAGCGATTCGCCGCGAAGACCAAACCGTTTAAATCCCAGCCCGAAACCGGATAACCGGATTTCCCGGCACGAATAAAATATTCCATTGAACGGCAGCCAGCAAGCAAGGGCCTCGATGAGAGGTTCGCGGCAAATTCCGCTCCCTTTTTTCGTTTGCCAATTACACGGGGTGGTCGTCAAAGCGTTTAATTCGATGAAAGAACAGCCTGGTAATAATGTCGCGGACCTTTCGTTTCTTTTCTTTCTTCTTCTTTTTTTTTCCTTTTTTTTTAATTTTCCCCCCTCGAAAACGATTCCCCAACGGAGGAACGGATGCGTGGCACTTTTTCGTGAACGTGAACGTGAACGTGACCGCCGTTCACTTCTCTCGTGCGTGCACGCGACAGATCGCGCGAGGTTAACCCCTTGCGCTGGCAACTGATTCGCGGACCATAACGAGCGACCGAACCGTGTACAATAATTCGTCGTTTTCTTCTTCTTTTGAACTCGTCGGTATGACATCACTGGATAGAAATTATTGAGAAGTAACAAACTTATCATTTGTTTTGCCTGGGTTACATTTGAATATATTTAAAACTGGGAAAACATTGCAATTTTGAGACAAAAAATTCTCGTGCGTGACACGTCATTCCAGTGCAAAAGGTTAAGAAAATAAAGATCAGCCAAATTTGACTTTTTTGTAGGATGTTATATTTTAATCCTTTGCGCTGGCAACTGATTCGCGGACCATAACGAGCGACCGAACCGTGTACAATAATTCGTCGTTTTCTTCTTCTTTTGAACTCGTCGGTATGACATCACTGGATAGAAATTATTGAGAAGTAACAAACTTATCATTTGTTTTGCCTGGGTTACATTTGAATATATTTAAAACTGAGAAAATATTGCAATTTTGAGACAAAAAATTCTCGTGCGTGACACGTTATTCCAACGCAAGAGGTTAAGAATACAAAGATCAGCCAAATTTGACTTTTTTCTAGGACGTTATATTTTAATCCCTTGCGCTGGTAACTGATTCGCGGACCATAACGAGCGACCGAACCGTGTACAATAATTCGTCGTTTTCTTTTTCTTTGGAACTCGTCGGTATGGCATCACCGAATAGAAATTATTAAGAAGTAACAAACTTATCATTTGTTTTGCCTGGGTTACATTTGAATATATTTAAAACTGAGAAAATATTGCAATTTTGAGACAAAAAATTCTCGTGCGTGACACGTTATTCCAACGCAAGAGGTTAAGAATACAAAGATCAGCCAAATTTGACTTTTTTCTAGGACGTTATATTTTAATCCCTTGCGCTGGTAACTGATTCGCGGACCATAACGAGCGACCGAACCGTGTACAATAATTCGTCGTTTTCTTTTTCTTTGGAACTCGTCGGTATTGCATCACCGAATAGAAATTATTAAGAAGTAACAAACTTATCATTTGTTTTGCATGGGTTACATTTGAATATACTTAAAACTGGTAAAATACAATTTTGGAACAACAAAATTCTCGACGTTCACTATCAAACTCACTCAAATCTTATCATTTTACGAATGCAAGCTCTCTCTTACGGCAATCTACATTCCTCAATCATATCAATCCAACCCCAAAACAAGCTGACTTTCATTAACGTTGAAAGACAACGAGCCACCGATCTGCTCAACGCTTCTTATACGTCGAGGTCAGATCGGCACGCAACAGGATCCATCCACACGTTTCCAGTACACGCTCCAAGCTTGAACATGATCACTCGCTTTTAACAAATCGTCGAGTATATTGTTGTCGTGGTTATTTGAATTCGTATCGATACGCAGTGTTTCAATTCGGGAGCAATCCTCGGACGCGCGGTACGTTCCCAAGGAGACGAAGAGAGGGAAGAAATCTGCGGAGAATGAGATCGTTGAACCTTGCTAAACGCCAGTTTGTACCTTCTTCTCTCTCCCGAAAGATTCTCTCGCGCTCCGATAGAAGATAAAGCCGCTGTCGTTTCCCCCCTCGAAAGGAAGGGGAAGGGGGGGGGGGAGGTGGAGGCGAAGAATCCGTCCAAGGTAACGAACGGCGTGGCGTCGAAATTGAAAGGGTTCCCACAGAGGTCGCGATCCACGATCGTTAAACCGTGCATTCGCCCTCACTCGATCTCTCGTTGCCACTTTAATCTCCCTTGCCGCTCGTTCGACCGTTTTCCACTCGGTTCTCTCTCCACGGTACTCCCGTAGTCAATCGAAACTTTCAACTTTCTCGGGATCTCGTTTGGCGAATCGATCGAAATCCAAGGGTCGGTTGGAATTCGGTTCGATCGAATTTTCGAAGTTTCGAGAATCCCCCCGTTGGACGAGAGGATCAAAAGTGAATGAAACAAGAGCGTCCTTCTTCTTCTTCTTCTTCTTCTTCTTCTTGTGCTTCTCTTTTTTCGATGGACGGGAAAAATTCACGGGAGGAAAGATGAGGGGATCTGTAAATGCGAGGTTAGGCACGGTTAGTCGATGCCACATCCACGAGCACGTCGAGACGAGGACGCAGGACAGCGTGTTTGGGGTCGATGACCCTTCGTACATCCGCGTTCGGTGCTTCCCGTAGTATATTACTCTCCCTCTTTATCTCGTAAGCCACGTCTTCTCTCTATCGTCGTTGCCTCCCCATAGCCACTCTTCCCGCTGCTTCCCATTTCCCCTCCTTCCAGTGTTCGCTCGTACTCTGACCGTTCTTAGAGTGGCGTCTTCGCCTCTCTCGCGCGTGCCTCGCCGATCGAGGGTAAAAGGACCCCTCTTCCTCTTTATTCTTTTCTCCTTCCTTGCGCTCGCGTCGTTTACCGATTTGCCGGCTAAATTAATAAATGGAGCCAATCTGCTTTTGCTATCTTTGGACGAGCGTCGAATCGAACCTTTATTTTTTTTTTTTTTTTTTTTTTTTTTTGACGAAACGAAATGAAAAGTTGTAGTACCGCGTGACCGTATTCTCATAACGAAACGTTATGGGGCGGGGGTGTTCCATCGTGTCGTATAATCGAACGTCGCGGCGCTCGAGGAAGTCGCTTGGTGGAAGTCAAAAGTGAAAGTGTGAGCGGGGAGAACCGTAGAAACACGCGAGGTGAGTGACAAAGAAGCCGGCGGAGGAGAGCCGTGCGTGAAACAGCAGTTTCAGAGATCAATGAACGATTGTTCCCTGCCTAAGCCTCTCTCGTTCGTGTTCTACAGGTTGCACCGCGCGTCGGCCCACTCGGCACGCGTTCTTCTTCTTGTCGATTCTAATCGAAAGTGTGCGTTCCGAGGGGAAACCATTGTTTCTTCGCCGCCTCGTTTCCATCCTCGGCTCGTTCCAAACAAAAATCTGCGCACTATCACCACACCGACGACCGAAAAAAATTGTCGATAATTTGAACTGATTTTTAAATTCGTGGAAGAAAGAATATGCTTGGACTTTATGCATTATATATCGTGCAGTGAGGATATTTTTGACCTTGGACATTCCGTCACCTGATTCTAATGTTCCGAGTATAGTAAAATTACACGGCGAGTTTTAATAGAAAATTCCAACACCACGGTGGATTTATTCGTGAAAAGAATTTTCTACACGCGTTTGAATTTTTACTATTTTCGAGAAAAAAGTATATCCTCGCTCTCCTTCTACTCGTTAGCTGATGTAACGGTACATCTTTGAGAAAGACGAACCCAAACCTGTCAAGATAGAAGCTTCACGCTTTGAAATGAGACCGAGCGGATCGTTGCACGATCTTTCTTTATAAAGTTATATCAGTTTAAATCATTGACAATGTTTCGTTACATTAGTAAATTTAATAATTAAAATTATTTTGTAAACTAATAATTTTGAAATTTATATTATAATATTATATTAATTATATATAATTTTAAAAATATTTATATATAATATATACATATTATTTTATGTTTAAAATTTTTAAAATAATATTTATATTTTATATATTTTATTAACTATTAAATTATCTATTTTTAAATATTTTTATAAATTAGTTTTTTATTAATTAAATTTTATAAAATTTATCTATTAATTAAAATATTAATAATATATAATTATATTATTAATTATTCATTATTTAATTTTAATATTAAAATTAAATTTATTAATTTAAATAATTTTTATTTTAAATTTCAATTATATAATAAACAATTTTATTGTTTATATTTAAAATAATTGTTATATTAAAATTAATTTTAAATACTCTTCACTATGTATTTGTTTCTGAATAGATGAAAAATGATCTAAGAGGATTTCGATAAAAATATTCATTAACTCTGTCCTCTTATTCCTCTTCGTCATCTTGTAAGATGTGATTGTTAAATTTTTATTACGAACTTTGTTATTAATATTTGTTTCTTTTTTGTTGCAGCGATTTGGAGCGAGATCTGAGTTTATCCGACAGTGAGGATGAAACAAATAAGGTAACGACATTATTGATACGTTATTGATTCGAGTTATTTTCGAAACGTGTCTCGAATGCGTTTCGAAAGAAATGCGAAGGAAAGACGTGTGAAATTAATCGATGTTCGTTTGTGTTTTCTTGCAGGAGACGTCATCGCAAACGACAAAGGAAAACAAAAGTCCGAACCTCACAGTCGAGTAAGTATCCCAAGTTTATCGATACTCTCGTCGATTAACGCTCCTGTTAACACAGTCCCGTTATCCTGTTTCAAATTCAACGCGCCCGGCTTACTTTATCATTCTCCTGCACACGGGACATGGTTTCTCGCTATCTGCTAGCTATTTTTCCAATCCGCAATTTCAAATTCAGCAGCAAAAATGGTCAAACATTTATTTGAAACGACAAATAAAAGCTGTCCCGGTCGCTTTATTATTTCTAGTTTAGTTAAACGATATTCAGTACCTGAATTACGAATAATCGAGTAATATGTTATTTAACACGTTCCCTGCCAAGTTGCATTAGAACTGTCATTACCGGTACACGCTATAACGTTTAATACATTTGCTTATTTTTTTCTGTTACTGTAAATTTACTTTTTTGGTATTTTCAAACGTTTAAAAACTAATGACTGCGTGGTAAAATAAATTTATTTATTAATCAGAAAAACGCAAGAATAAAGAAGTGAAGTAGCGAAACAAAATTCACGCAAGAAATTATACAGTAAATAGTATTTATTTCTAATGTTTTCACTCTGTATTTTCATATATCGATGTGATTTTGTTAAAGACGGTTCGTTGGAACAAAATGTTGCCACTCACTTTGTAGTGACCCGTGCAATGTTACTATTAAAATTTTTTACATTTTCTTTATAGCAAGAAATGCAACGATGATGGATCTCCATTATCCTTTCTCAATTCGTGTCGAAAAAAAACTGACTGACAATTTATTATCACGGCTTAAAAAGTATTCCAAACATCATTGTAGACCATATAAAAGCGATATCAACAATCATCGTTTATCTCTTTATCTCTTAACGAGAAAAATATCATTCGGCGTAAAAATGAGCTTCAGCGTGTACCGAAAACGGCGGGAACGTGTTACACGACATTACCAATCGAATAATATGTTATTTAAACAATACATTCGTGCTCACGTACGTATTACGATAACTATAATGTTACTTTTACTCGCAGTTTATCGATGCCAGCGATGACACCAGCTCCTCCACCTTTGGCGCCCATATCACCCATGGCTCCATCACCGGTGGATCCACTTTCGCCCGCGAGGCAGCTTAACTCGAGCAGACCGCCGTCATCTGCGAAGCAAATGACGCCCGAGGAAGAGGTCTCACCCCCGCCGGTGAACTCGTTGCAGTCGAAAGACACGCCGAGCCCACCACCGGTGAATCAAAGGCCGCCGAGCCCGTTGGGCCAGGCGCCACAGAGCTCCGGAAGCGCCAGTTCCAGCTCGGATTCCGGCTCGGATTCCGGTTCCGATAGCAGCGACGACTCCGAGGACGAAACCGGCAGCACTCAGCCCGCCAAGGGTCCAACCACACCTCCCTCGGTATCACCAAAGAACGAAAATGTGATCGAAGAGCCGCTGCCCGCGGTCGAGGAGTCGAAGCCACGGTGGAACCTCAGCTCGTTCTTCAACAAGACCGCCGTGCCTCACGGGGAGCAGAGCTCGGAGAACAAGCAGTCGCAGGTACGGTTCTCGATTTCGATCGGCCACTCTCCTATCTCATTGTCACGTGTCACTAACAAACTTTGTTAAAGAAATCGATTACTCTTCTCTAATACTCTTCTCTAATACTCTTCTCTTCTCTACTCTGATTAAGTGCGGTCAATGGTTGATGATTATTAGGGTGTGGGTTGAGAGATGCGGTCGTGAACGTGTATGCGGTTCTTGGTACGGTTGGCTCGTGATACACGGGGTTGTGCGAAGTACAATCATCTTCCGAAAACTTTGACCGAGTTACACGGTTGTCGTAGACGGCTCGGCAAACTTTGTCTGTCCAACTTTGAGTCTCACCGTGGACTCCGATGGACAGTCGCAACTGTATTCCGACTCTATTTCCGAGTTCGAGCGTTGCATCTTTACGCGCGTAAATATACGCACTGTTCGTCGCGCATTGGTTTCATTAGAGATTCGTAATTTTCGCAGGATCGCAGCAGGCGGGATACAGATTCACCGGCGGTGGCGGCGAACGCCAAGACGCTGAGGGACAAGACGACGCACGACTGGCAGCACGGCGACGCTGTGAAGAGCAAACGTAACGCCGCGATGCTCAACCTGCTGGACAGTGACAGCGATCGTCCGTCGGATCATGAGAAAGGTCAGCCGGTGGAACAGAGCAGCCGTGTCCAGCCGGAAAAACCAAAGGTGACGGACGCGAGGAAACGTGGCCGACCGAGGAAGCCGACCAAGAGCCCGAAGGCCGGTCATCGTACCGCGGAGGAAAATCTGAAAAACGGCAAAGCTCGTAGCCGAACCAGAGCAGTGGGCAGCCCGAAGAAAAAGGCGCCTGTCTCGAAGCCGATGATAACGACCAGCGACGACGGATCGCAAGGCGAGTCAAGCGACTCGGACAGCGATCGGACGAACCGTAAGGTGTCGCCCGTTGTTGTCGCGGCTATAAACGAAAAGAGGTCTAGGCTGAGCGAGTCCTCGGAGAGCGAAGACGAAAGCCCGCCGCCTAGAAAGATCATGAACACCGAGGACGATAATACCGCGCGTTGGAGGAGAATGCCTCTTAAGAGAAGCAAACTGATGGTAGACGCGCCGAAGAAGCAAGACAAAAAGCCGACAAAGGCGAAACCGAGGAGGCCCAATACGCGGGTCACCGTCTCTGATTCCGACAGCGAGTCTGAGATGTCAGTGAGGAATCGTCAGGTTGCTTGGTAAGTGCTTATCTTAAAAAACTAGCATTTTTTCTTTGTACGTAAATTCTGATGTAGCGTGATACCAAAAATTAATTAAAAAAGGTCGACTTCGTTGTTCTACAAATATAGGGTACCTCCGAGACCAAGGGCACCGCCGACTCGAGCCACCTCGCCGGAGAATTCCGACAGCGACAACAGCCCGGGCTCGAAGTTGCAGGAGGAGGACGCGGGCAATGTACAAGACAAGAAAAAGAGCGACACTCTTCGAAAAGTGTTCTCGTCGTCCATGGGCGGAGGGAAGGTCGGAGGTAAAGGTGGTAAAGGTGGCAAAGGCGGAGGAAAGTGTGGCATCTACGTGGAAGAGTACACAGCCTCTGCCAACACACCGACGGGAGGGGAGAGTCCGTACAAGAGACCATCGTCACGGTCGTCCAGCATGATTCAGTCTTTCCCCCCGCTCACCTACGTGAACGGCGTGCCGAGTTTGTTCTGCAGGATCGACTTGAACAAACTTCCGCACATATCGCAGCTGTCGAGGGGGCAAGAGTTGAGGCAGCGCACGGAACTTCCAAATACGAGGCCGTCATCGAGGCAAACCTCGTCCCATCAACCTCCTCGGCCACCTACGCCGGAGGAGGGGGAAATCGTCGACACGCCACCGCCTCAGCAGCTCGCCTCCGACGCGAGGATTCACGGCGACGGTTTGCTAGTTGACAGTGATCTGAAGAACCGTGCTGTGATCAAGGGCGAATTCATATCGGACACGAAGAATAATTGCGGTATCGGCCACGGCGCTGGTATTGCCGTTGCAGGTGCTAGTGGAAGTAGTAGTGGTGCTAATGCTACGGGTAGCGCACCCAAGAGGAAACGTAATCCGAGTTGTAGTTCTGTGTCCAGTTTAAGTACTGTGTGTTCTTTGGAGTCGAAATCGAACGCGGAACACAAAGACAGTAAAAAGAGAAAGATCAATGATATTGACGCTGATGCCCTTGCATCTGGGCCATCTTCCAGCCAGGTATCCGACAAATTAGATTTCCTGTTTTCGTTGAATTTCGCTCGACGTTGCCCAACCTTGAGCGATAGTATGGGTCTCGATCCTGAGCAACAAATTGATATGCAACCAACGAATCATGAACGGAATGAAGAGAATCTTGATACCGACTTATTGCCGCCACCACCTCCACCTCAGCGCTTATTTTATTCCTACTTCAATCCACAAAATGAAGTTCTAGAGGAGCAGGACAGGTGGTGAGTAAACGTTTGATCACCTTGGTTAAAACTACGCCCGCTAAACTTGCACGGGACGCGTTTAATTCACTTTTCGTGTACACAGGGACCAAAATCAGTACCTGATGGAAGCCAAGCGACTGAAGCACAGCGCCGACCAGGAGTGTGAGGTCACGGCGCAGTGTATGCTTTACCTAGAGGCCGTCTTGTGCTTCCTACTTACTGGTAACGCTATGGAGTCCGATCCTTTAACTGAGAGAGCATCGTTTACTATGTTTAAAGATACTCTCAGTCTTATCAAGTGAGTACATCTCTAATTAATCGCGAACCACGACGAAAAGTATTTCCTAATTAATGCAATCTCCGATTTCCCCTTGCTTTAGATACATCTCTTCGAAGTTCAAGAGCCAGCACAAGAACACAGTAGAAGGCAAAATACAGTACAGATTGAACACTCTAAGGTGAGCGCACAGCTTTTCTTGTTTATCGCGATTCCGTCAATAAGATTTTCCTTTAAATAACGCCGTTACTTTTCGTTTCAGTCTGTTCTGCCAGTCCCTCTTATACTTGAAGTTGTTCAGGATGCGCAAATACGAAACCAAAGAGAACCAAAAACTCATCAACGATTATCAGGTAAAGATATACGTGGATATTTGATAGGCAACAAGAAACTGACCGGTTGATTTAATGATTTTGTCGTTTCCATTAGATCTCTCAGGGAATACCGATACAAGATGGACTACTAACACCATGTTTGTCACCAACACCTTCGCCAGCCGGTTCCGTGGGTTCCGTTGGTAGCCAGAGTTCCGGATACAGCAGCGGCGAATTGGCGAATCGAGGAGGTCAACCTTCTGGTCAACCTTCGTACATTAATCTTCCGCTTAATGTTTATAACGCCATGAACAGGGAACATTACAACTGTGGCTTGCTACTACAATCTCTCGATCTATGGGACCAGGCAAATGCTCTGGTGACAGAAAAGCACAGAGGTGAATCTTCGACTTTCTCTTGATTAGTCGAAGAGTACATAGTTAAGAAACGTACACTTCGTTATTTTATTTTTGTAGATTTCTTTATCGAGCTGGATGAAAAATTAGGCCCTCTCACGCTGAAAAGCTCATTGCGTGACCTGGTGCGCTACGTCCAAGCCGGTATAAAGAAGCTTCGAGTTCTCTGACCACTGTGGCATAGTCCCAGACCGCCCACCCCAAATTATATTACTTCTCTCCCGCAAAACATGGCCACGTATCCAACTTTGTACACATAAAAGATATATGTGAAATGAAATCCTTATGGATTTGAAAAATATACGATTGGCAATCATACGATTCTAGTAATGTAACGTGCGTTGAGAAAAGACGCCGAATATGAGAAAAAAAACTAAAAGAAAAAAAAAAAAGAAAACAAAACGGGAGAAGAAGTCGAGAATATTCTCAACGAATATAATAGAATTATTCGGGTGAGGCGTAAGAATTTAAAATGGTCTGGGCAGTAACAAAGAGACCATTATATTCGATATAATTACATTCGAAAGCTGTAATCGTTACTCTCCTCGTTAGATGAATTTTTTTTTAAATTGTTAGCACCAACTTTATAGTCAATTCAAAATTACTCATCTATCAGTTAAGAAAACTGAAAGAAGGATCGTCATGGATCCGCTATCGGTGCGTTGAGAGAGAGAGAGAGAGAGAGAGAGAGAGAGAGAGAGAGAGAGAGAGAAAGAGAGAGAGAGACAGAGAGACAGCCTCTTGTATTCTGTGCGTAATACGCATTACTTATTTTCGAGACTGGCAATGTGAAATCCGAGAGAAAGGATCGAGAGAAAGAATAAACGTTCGAAAAGAAAGAAAGATAGAAATGAAAGAAAAAAGCCAGAGGGGTAACACTTGGTCCCTATTTTTTTCGAAGTAAATCATTTTTGTAAAATAACAAATGGACTCGAAAAGTGGAAGAGAAACAAGAAAACGAGAAGAGAAGAGGAAACTACAAAAAAGAAATAAGAAGTGCCACAGAAGCGCCCGTGTGTTCTCGCTTTACGGTGCGCCGCAGCCGACGTTACCTGAAGCATAAGTTTCGTCTTGGCGATTCGAGTGCGACACAAGGATACACATATATGCATATAGTTTATTACTTATATAAATATATAAATAAATATATAGATACGAATATATATTTAATGAAAAGAGAACCAAGCTGGCGTTTCGTTTTTAGCGAAAAGGAAACAAAACAAAACAAAACAAAAAAAAAAACCAGAAGAATACGGCAGTCGTGAGATTCGGGAGGATTAAGTGAGAGATAGAGAGGAAGAAAAAAGAAAATGGAAGAGAGACAGGGACGGGAGAATTTAGTATGATGATGCATTTCTCTTCGGCAAAGATGCGTCGCGAGCAACAAGATCAACATTTTGATCTGAAATCGATATAACATTAACTACTACTATTACGGTTAACGTCGCTGAACGACAGGCACGACTTTTTGTAGATAGATTACGAAGGTGATTCGTAAAAAGATAATTTAGATTAGATAATTCATACGCAACAAGGAAAAACAAAGTTAAACGGTAACAGAAAAAAAAAAACCGAACAACCAATACATATTATTTACATTATTTAGGATTAACTGGAAAAATAAGTAGAGAATCTAGCAATGAAAATTAAACAAAGAAATATTCAGATAATTATACATAATGCATACACTATATTATAAATAGTGCGATTATAAAGGAAGAAACAAAAAGATGAAATGGAGTGGAGTGAAATGAAATGAAATGATAATACGAAAAAAAAAAAAAAAACGAGAACAAACACCAAAATGAAAAAAAAAATAAAAAATTTGCGCATCTCATTGCACGAGAAAAAAACAACAAAAGAAAAAGAGATACCAAGCGTAATGGATAAGTAAGTTGCTCATGTATATTTTTGTAAATAGATATTTGCGAGTGCCGCCGCCTTGAGGGTGACCTGTCGACGTTTAAACGCACGCGACAGGCCGGCCCGCCCCAATTTTTGCTACCACAAATCTTATCGAGATTCAGAAAATTTCTGGTAAAAGGAAAAGAAGAAGAAGAAAATATTAAACTACACGTACACAAGATATTACATGTCCGCCGAAATTGTCCCAAAAGTTCTTTCCAGTTCATTAGAGATGCTTGCGTTATGTTCAATCTTCTTTTTTGTACATATACTTTGTACATATGTATTTCTTTTATCTTCGTTTTTTTTTTTTTTTTTCTTTTTATGTTTTTTTTTTTTTTTTTTTTTTTTTTTTTTTTTTTTTTCTTTTTATGTTGTCCGATTCGATTGATTATTATGCGTCATCCGCCTCTCTCGAATCGGTTGTCATGTTTGTCCGATATGCTTCCTTTTCTTTTTGTTGTTTCGTCACCGAGAAAACTCAAAATGGAAAAAAAAAAAAAAAAACAAAACAAAAAAAGAAAAAAAAAAAGAAAAAATAGGAGAAACCGTTCTGTCGCAGGATACGCACGCAATTTTAGCGATTTTCCTATATTTTCGCAGCTGTGGGAATGTAGGAAATTAAAAGTATACGAAGTCTGAGTGAACGTAAAGAAAAGACGAGAGGAGAGAACGTACACTTATCTTTCTCGATAAAACAGCGAATTCGATTTGATGTGTGTGGCCGTTGTAACGAGACGAGAATGAAGGAGAAGCATTAGGCAAGTCAGCTGGCGCGCGAGCATTCAACCCGGGAGTAAATCTCTTTTTCGGACCAGAATCGTAACGAACAATTTATCTCGACGATTAGTCACAAAACATATCGAAATTGAATTGAATTAAATTCCGACACTCCCGGGCAGCATTTTCGTATCTAACAATAGATGGTATCGTGCGAGAAAGATGCTGGACCAATCTGTAATTAATCCGTAGGGATTACGTTCAATAATAAAAATGCGCCGCGTTCGCTGGTTCGTTGCTGATGCTTCTCTACAAGTGGGCAACTAGAAAGGAGAAAGTAAATAGACGGATGAATAAAAGGGAAGAAAAGAGGAACGAAAGAAGTAAGCACAGTAGGGCGGGGTAGGGGTGGAAAAAAAAAAAAAGAAAAAAAAAAGGAAACGCTGGAACCATGGCAAAAGGATCGAACACGAGTTGACGAGACTCAGGGGGGCCCGTATAGAGTTACTAAGTGCGGTCCAATGGTTCACGGGATACAATTTTATACCTCGTGTGCGCGTGCACACGGACTGAAGGATAAAAGAGACTAAAAAAAGAGGTCTATTAAAAAAAAAAAAAAAAAAAAAAGTTTTGATATTTTCGAGACACATATTTATAGCGGATACGTATAATATCAGGCCCTTCGCTCTTGTCAGCCCGTGCTGTAGAAACGAACATGCAAAACAATGTATTACCCGTACCTAGTATTAAAGAGATGGCCGAGACTGAACGAACTTTGCGACTCGTGCAATCCGGCTGCTGCAATGAAAAATCGAACGTGTCCGCGCTTTTATCGAGAAATTAATTGCACGCGAGAATGGTGTTTTTCTACGTGTTGCAACTTTCGTTGATCGTCGTGACGCGTCCGCCATTGATTCGTAATCCTATTTTCTTTTGATCGACGCTCTTCGCGATTTATATCGTCTTGTATATATGCGTATATATATATATATATGTACATTTTTCTTTTATTTTATTCAACATTCAATCTTTTGTTTTTCTTTCGCAATTTTAAGAATGTTCTGATTTTTTTTTCATTTTTTTCTTTTTTTTTTTTTTTTTTTTTTTTTTTTCTTGACTTTCCTT